ACAGTATATAAAACTTAAAATATGGGTAAGGGTAGCATGTTAAAGTCACACATGACCACCGTAAATAAAACTTAAAATGTATCTGTTTGGTAACCTATAAGAGTCACAAATGGACACATCAAACGAAATTTAAAATATAAAACATCATATACAAGTAAGGGAACCCTATTTGAGTCACACATGGCCACAGTATATGGACCATATAAGTAAGGGTAGCCTATTAAAGTCACATATGGCCACAGCATATGCAACTTAAAATCTATGTGTTGGTAACCCATTTAAGTCACACATAACCACAATAAATGGAACATGATATTTAAGTAAGGGAAACCTATTTGCGTCACACATGGCCACAGTATATGGAACATTAAATATAAGTAAGGGTAGCGCAATAGAGTCACACATACCCCCATTATGAAGAACATTCTATATAAGTAAGGGAAACCTAATTGAGTCACACTAGGCCAAAATATACGGAACATTATGTTTAAGTAAGGGAAATCTATTTGAGTCACACATGACTAAAGTATATGGAACATTAATTATATATAAGTAAGATAAGCAAGGGTAGCCTAATAAAATTAGACTCAAATACATTTCCCTGAGTTAAACAGTATGTCTAATATCTTGTGGCCATGTGTGACTCAATTAGGTTTAACTTACTTATATAGAATTTTCTTTATATTTTGGCCATGTTTGACTATATTAGGCTACCCTTACTTATATATAATGTTCCATTTACTGTGGTCATGTGTGTCTCAAATGGGGTTTCCATACTTATATTTAACGTTCCATAAACTGTTGCCATGTGTGACTCAAATAGGTTTGCCTTACTTGTATATTATGTTTCATATTTGAAATTTCGTTTGATGTGTCCACTTGTGAGTCTAAAAAGTTACCAACACATATATTTTAAGTTTTATTTACGGTGGTCATGTGTGACTTGAACAGGCTACCCTTACCCATATTTTAAGTTTTATATACTGTACCCATTATGACTGTAACAGTATAGTATAGTCATAAATTAACTTGATAAAATACCCATTGGGTATTAAATATGCCATACGATCTGTCCAATTTATGGAAATAACGTTTTTAAGCTCCCGATGGTATTTACGGGGAAGAAAATTGTTTTGGCAATTTAGTGGTCATTAGCCTCGACGTGACCTATGGAAATTAGTTGCTCCCGCCCGCCATCTTGTTTGACGCGAAGATATCCGAATGAACCCAACATAATTGTATGACCACTCAGCGCATTGTCAAATGACTTGTGCACCGAACAGTATATCATCTGAACTGAACATAATGACGGTATCACACCACAGTTTGTGTTCACTACTGAACATAATGACCTCTGCACCAAACAGGATATCATCTGAACTGAACATAATGACGGTATCACACAACAGTTTGTGTTCACTACTGAACATAATGACCTCTGCACCGAACAGTATATCATCTGAACTGAACATAATGACGGTATCACACAACAGTTTGTGTTCACTACTGAACATAATGACATCTGCACCAAACAGGATATCATCTGAACTGAACATAATGACATCTGCACTGAACAGTACATCATCTGAACTGAACATAATGACTTCTGCACCGAACAGTATATCATCTGAACTGAACATAATGACGGTATCACACAACAGTTTGTGTTCACTACTGAACATAATGACTTCTGCACCGAACAGTATATCATCTGAACTGAACATAATGACTTCTGCACCGAACAGTATATCATCTGAACTGAACATAATGACGGTATCACACAACAGTTTGTGTTCACTACTGAACATAATGACCTCTGCACCAAACAGGATATCATCTGAACTGAACATAATGACTTCTGCACCGAACAGTACATCATCTGAACTGAACATAATGACGGTATCACACAACAGTTTGTGTTCACTACTGAACATAATGACCTCTGCACCGAACAGTATATCATCTGAACTGAACATAATGACATCTGCACCGAACAGTACATCATCTGAACTGAACATAATGACTTCTGCACCGAACAGTATATCATCTGAACTGAACGAACTGAACATTATGACGGTATCACACAACATTTTGTGTTCTCTACTGAACATAATGACCTCTGCACCGAACAGTACATCATCTGAACTGAACATAATGATAGTACTATTCAACAGTTCTATTTCACAACTGAACAGAAGGAATTAAGCACCCAACAGCATGTCATTGCAACTGAAAATAATAAAATTATCACCCAATAATACACTGCCGCGGCCAAACGAAATAATAGTACCACTCAACTGTTTATTTTCATGGTTGAACATGATGAGAAGAGCTATTTTAACCGAACATAATAACTGTCACACCCTACAACATATCTTCTTAACTCAACATAATTGTGTTACCACATGCCTTTTTGTTTTAAGAACTGAACAGAACGACTTATGCACCCGACAATACATTGACTTGACTGAATAAAATGTAATCAGCACACAACATTACATTTCAATAACTGAGCGCATTTGGATTTCCACCCAGTATATTGGGATTTTGACCCAGCATATTGTATCTCGGAGACAATAGAATGACATTTAACCATGTATATCAGTCATTCTACACATAAGACAGTCCAGGCGTTCCATATGTCTCGTTTATAGGAAAATGTAAGGGCTATGAGTGAGGTTTGTTGCACTATTAACCGGTTTAAACTCCCCAGCAGTACTTGTGCTGCTGACCGTTCCAAGGCGGTGCCCCTCTGTGTTCCTCAGATGTATGTCTATGTTGTTTCATACTGTTTTGATGACAGTTTCCTTGTGTCCCTTGTTGTTTTCTCATCTAGCTGATTTTAAATGCGATATGATTGATATTGAAAGTGTGGCCTGGCTGATGCACTCAATGCTATCTATTTGTAGTCCGGCGCTGTATAAACCTTTATATCGTGTTTAAACATTCAAAATTCGTTTATCACATAAACCGCGGCGCAGGAGTGTAATAAAGCCATTTTGATAACAAGAGCTGTCGGTAGAACAGCACGCTCGACTATTCTTAGTGCTTGATAATAAAGGAGCCTTGATAATGTAAAAAAATTTTAAGTTCACAAAAGGGCTAATTTTTTAATAAATTCATGTTATAGGCCTTAGAGAGAGTCTAATTATACAGTATTGGCTTGACTATTCGGAAGGTAATGTCACAAGGGTGTTTTATTTAGTATAATAATACTAATTACCTATGAATACATAAATTTGACAGAAAAGGTACAAAGGCTTGTTATTAAGATGTTTTATCAAGTAAATCACTGATTTATTATTATGAATGCATAAAAGTGTCCCAAAAAAGGCACAAACCCTTCAGTAGTTATTGAGATAACAGCTTACAAGCAAAACCCTACCATGAATTTCTAAAGTTGAAAAAGGGGAGAAAAATCAGCCTAAATGCAAGATAGAATTATGGATTTTTGTCAGTGACCTACAATTATGACCCTAAATGCATATGTGAAGTTTTAAATAAATATCTTTAATAGTTATTGAGATATGTAAAACTTGCATGTAAACATTAACCAAGAGACTAAGTGGAAAAGGGGATATGAATCAGCCTTTATGCAAGATAGAGTTATGGAACTTGGTCAGTGACATACAATTATGACCCACCAATTATGACCCTAAGTGCATGTGTAAAGTTTCAAGTAAATATCTTTGAAGACCTTTAACTTTTAACCAAAATTTCTAAGTTTCAAAGGGGCAAATAATTCTGCAAATATTGCAGGCAGTTTTGCAATTTTGCAAACTGATGAACATTGTTACTATAAAAAAGTATTTTAAATTTCAATTGAATATCTCAAGCAATAATTGAGATATTTGACTTTACAAAACAACTTTAACCAAAATTTCTAAGTTCCAAAGGGGCATAATTATGTCAATATTGTAGGCAGAGTTATCCAACTTGTCAATCTGATGAACCTTGTTACTATAAATAAGTATTGTAAGTTTCAATTGAATATCTCAAGCAATAATTGAGATATTTGACTTTACAAAAAAACTTTAACCAAAATTTCTAAGTTAAAAAGGGGCATAATTCTGTCAATATTGTAGGCAGAGTTATCCAACTTGTCAATCTGATGTACCTTGTTACTATAAATAAGTATTGTAAGTTTCAATTGAATATCTCAAGCAATAATTGAGATATTTGACTTTACAAAAAACTTTAACAAAAATTTCTAAGTTAAAAAGGGGCATAATTCTGTCAATATTGTAGGCAGAGTTATCCAACTTGTCAATCTGATGTACATTGTTACTATAAATAAGTATTGTAAGTTTCAATTGAATATCTCAAGTAAAAATTGAGATATTTGACTTTACAAAACACTTTAACCAACGCGGACGCTGACGCCGACGCCGGGGCGACTACAATAGCTCTCATATTCTTCGAATAGTCGAGCTAAAAACGATATTACACTAGTGTAATAACACTTTGACACGACGTCATTTCCGCTATATAGAAACATTTTATAATACTGCACGTTTTTAACGTCTTTTTTCATTGGATAATCTTGACGTTAATACAGTTTTATATACACGGCTGCTGTCGATCCATGAAGAAATCTTACTTTTTCCTCTAACGGCTCGTGTTATATTTACAAATAGCCGTTTATATAGGGCCATGTAACCTGTCAACGATCTTTATAAGTAGTAGCGTTAAAGCGCGCTGTTAGCATTACACTATGGGCGCGTCATTGAAAAATAACTCATTTTAACAATTAACAGTTCTTATTTTATATATGTGATAAACAGAATATTATATTCGTGTAGATTCAATATTAAATTTATTGAACTCGTTGAATAAAACAATATTTTGCTCGCCAGAGGCTCACATAATATGATTTTATTCAACTCGTTCAATAAATTTAATATTAAACTACACTCATTGAATATCCTCTATTTCTTTTGTTGCTGGTGGTTATTATTTTGTGTGTGTTTTTTTCTTCAATTTATCATTTTCATTTTTAGAAGCTGCAGCGTTAACAAACAGACATTATCCAGAAAACAGAGAAGGGATTAATCAAATTTTAGGTTAGAAGTATTTTACTCATTTACTTTTTTTACTAAAATTCCTTTAATTAACAACTCGTGTCATACATACTGTATACATGTTTGTATTTGTTTTTAACTTATTTTTCAATTTAACATACAATATAAGTTTGTTTCTTTTAAAATATTTTCATGAAGATGCTTTATGCAATGATTTTAATACAGTCGAACTTCGTTCGCTCGAACTCGGAGGGCCTGTGCAAATATGTTCGAGAGATCGGTAGTTCGAGCCAACCGAGGTTGAACTATTATTAAGTTGATCATATGCCTAAGAGGTTTTTTAGCTTACACCGGTCGAATGATAAATACGTCAATATAATTGCTTTTTAAAACATCTGTTTGTGGAATATGTTATATTCAGAATTATTATTCCAGTATTTTCAATTAAGTATTAATGGTACACTGTGGTAATTTATATTCATGCATATTGGAATTGGTTGTGTTTGATTGGGCAATCAGACCAAACTTGTTGAACAATGTTCAAAATATATTTGTATTTTTATTAAGAGATGAATTTAATTTTAAAAAATGAATTTATAAGATAATGAAATAAAAAAAATTATAGCAGCATTTTTTTTGTAGTCATTTACTTAAATATACACATGTACAAGTATTTCTATAAATAGATAGCATTGTAACAATTCACGTTACATGAACCACGGTTGTTATAAAAGCTGTCTGCATAAAAGCCAATCTTTATTGACTTTTGCATATTTCACTTATTTCACAAGTTATTTTATTTTATCGTTACCATAAACGGCAAATCAACAAAATTATCATAAACAAATCGGTTACAACACCCCTTATTTTGTATCAATTAGCCTTAATTACCTTTGTCACAATCACGAGGTGTTAAAAACATGTGTCGCCGACTGTCATTTATTTAGGACATGTCGACCTTTGATCCTTGCAAGTCTAATGCAGATTTATTAGAAATAATTGCAACTGGTGTCATCTTTTTCTGTTCCTTATTCGACTTCAACAGTTTTTCCAAATAGTTGTATGCATATGCTTTATGCAATGATTCAAATGATTGATCCTTGCAATACTTATGCAGACTTATCAGAAATAACTGCAATTGCGTTCTGTCTGCATATCTTCTTCTGTTCCTTACTCGGAGTTGAATAAGGAATGAGGAACTGATTCCTTATTCCTTATTCGACTTGGGCATGTTTTTTTTTCAAAATATTTTATGCAGATTCTTTATGTAATGATTTTAATGAGGTATAACGGGTTCCTTATTGTATCTAAAAAAAATTCTTTTTGCTGAATAAGCTTAACTTTTATTCTGTTTACAGATTTGCTCAAAGAACTCATAAGACTTCGGAATAACACTGATGAAAATTCAGATCCTTGGCAAAGTTAGTACTTATATTTTTGACTTTATGCTGAAATTGTAATACTATTTTTTTACTTATCAATACATACAGTAATAACTCAGCAATTCTACCTTTTTTATTAACTTCTGTCGTATGAATCTTACCTGAATGTAAAGAAAAGATATTCCACTTTTAACTTTCTTGAAAGGGTAATTTGGTAAAGAAATAAATCTTAATAAGGAACGAAAACATTTTATGAAATATGGACTACGGGCATAAACGAAATCATACGAGCTACATTCTGGTCACTACCGGTGAAGAATAATCAATGAATGTAATCAGCATGAAGGTGTGTTACTTTAAAGCCTAAATTGCAAAATGCATATATTAATACGAAAAATGAGTTTTTCTTCTCCGATCGTGAAACTTTTCAAGTAAAATTTCTGATTAGAAACTTAAAAACATACTTTCTTATTTGGGAAATATTCCCTACAACATATATATTTTGATTAATTCATATAAATGAATATCGCTGCAAATCTTAAAAAGACTGAAAAGCTGTATTCATGATTCACTGTTAACTGCGAACAATATGTTCCAACATATAGAAAGCTGGGTAATGTTGTTGTTGTTTTTCTCAGGCATAGATACAAAGATCCATGTCGAAAGTGACAATGCAAGTCACACTGATGCAGCAGAGACTAGTTTAATACGGACAGTCAACAATGTCATTGCTAGTGTTGATCTGCAAGCAGCTTTACAAGCAGAAGAAAGAGCAGAAACTCCATTACAGCTACAATATACCCAAACTGACGGGAAAACTACAAGATTGAATCAAAACAATATGCAAGAAGCCACAAACGAATCGCTTGGATATCACCGTGAACCACAATCTGACACAGATTCCATTGTACAGCGTGTACTGCGTCGTGTGGACTTAGGAGATGGGTCGCGTGAATTAATAGAAGGTATTTTGCAGCTCTGTATTGAAATACAGCAAAATGGAAATGTCTTCATAATGAGCGCTGGAGAAGGCTGTGTGGTATTTGTGGTGAAATGTAGGACGTATAGTGGAGTCTACAATTTTCTCAGATACTTCAATAGTCCTCGCTTTCAAATTGCGTTGGACAGGATTTCAGGGGTTCTGCAGAGAGATTTAGGGATAGACGTAATGCTGGCCCCATTCATATCAGATGAAAGCTTAAGAAATCTTAAATCTTATATAGGTATTCTTCATCTGTTCTTAATGTATATTCCTGTACCTCTAGAAGCTTTTTTTTATAGCAGGACTTAACTATAACAGTGGACTTTATGTCTGATTCGTAAAATACATTTTTGGCATATATTCTAATCTTAATAACAGAAAAAATACTTGTTTTGATAATTTTATTTTTACTTTTAAAACTAAAAAATGATAGCTGTTGGAGAAACGGTAACAATAATCAAAAATGATTGTTTTGTTAACTGTTCTTTAAAAATAACTTGATAAAGGTATTTATCGTATACTTTATTGAAATAAGTATGTCTATATTATAGATGGGGAATTCGTGCGCTTGCCGAGGGAAAGGTCGTTTGCTTTGAAAGTTGGATATTCGTGTATAACCGACCTATCTCGCTTAAAACGGTACCTGCAATCAGACAAGGCAAAAGAGACATTGAAGAAAATATCTGTCGCTTTAACAAAGTTAAATGCAGGACAAACGAATCTGGCCACATCTATCGACGCTGTTCAGATGATGGAAGCTTTGAGTAAGTATCAGATTTTTCTTTAATTTCTTTTCCTTGCACATGTATGTCTAACTTGACAAACGTTATGAATTTTTTTTTTTTGTCTTTTCATATCTTTTACTGGTAGTTCTGAAGTTTTCTTGTTTACCGTTAACTTTCTAAATAAAAATGGTACTGGGTTGTGAATAATCATTTAATATTGACATTGTAGAAAGCAGTTTCAAAACGTTCAACAAAGAAACAACTAAGCATCCCAATTTTCAAACAAATGACTTTCCTTAACTATTTCTTATATTAAAGACAATTCCCCATATATATTCCAAATATTCATCACATATTTTATATTAAAGGCCAATTATTTCCCAAAAAATGCTTTTATTTTTATTTCATTTTTTTTATTATTATGTCTAGTGTCCTTAGTAGTCCATAGTTTTCAAAACGTTACTAATTGACCGATTACGAGGACTTTTTATTTTGGAAATAAATACAATTACAATGATGAGGTATGGTGTATGGAACTCAAAATACTACTTTGTTTACATTTTGCTATATTTTTTGACAAATAATGCTAAATTCAGCCATAATTTTTCAGGTGATAAATATCAAACATGCTCTAAGCTCATTATCTAAATATTATACAACTCATGTTTGCCATTTTGAAAGGAGGAAAAGATCAGTTTCAGATTTATTTTTTTTTATTTAAACTTTTTCACTTTATTTTCCAGAAAACAGAAATGACAGGTTGCTGTACTCGATAAAGATTTAAGACACGGGAATGCAAGATGTGCGTTTTTAAAATTAAATTTACATTAATTTAACAACTAGTATACAAACCATCTTATTACTACGTCATGTACAAATGTGGACATTGAGCTTTCTCCAATAATGTTTAAGTAAATTGCTACAACTCAATTCAGGAAGAATTTTCTTATCGCTACTACTACTTACTAAAGGCTATCATCATTGATGACGTTGAATAAACATGTATTGAAATCTTTGAATATAAAACATACATATTTTTACAATACATTTAAAGGAGTAAAACTTTAAAAGATTAATTGTTAAATATATATCTTGTATCTGTTTGAAAATATTGACAACGTAACGACTTCATGTGAATGATAATATTATAATTCTTATTTACTGGTATTATTACATTTGTTATAAATCATAATTAATAATTGTATATTGCAGAATGATGACTAACACGGACCAGATATTACACATTTCTTGACAACAACGAAATAAAGTGAATAAGAAACAGTCTACAAAATATACAGGCTGATTGTTTAAAGACAGTTTGCAGTAAAAAGTTAACATTTTGCTCAAAGTAAATTGTTAATTCTACCCAAACAATTCGGCGAATGCTTGAACCATTTAATGTTTCTTTTGTGTGTGTTTTTTTTTTTTTTTTTTTTTTTTTTTTTTTTTTTTTTTTTTTTTTTTTTTTTGAAAATTACCATATATTATATATTGAATCATTGCTTGGAGTCGGGAGTTTTTTCTTTACGAATTGAAATATATCATCGTTTTTATTGTTTATCTACCTTATCGTTTGTGTATAATTCATACTCACGCCCACCCATGGCTCAATTTTCTGAATGTTTTTTAAGCGAGGACCATGTTTTTATTTGTCATAAGGCATTTGTAAGATGCTTCTTTTTTCTGTAGATATTGTACTTATTCATTTATTTAAAGCACACTGTATAAATATTGCACTTATGCATTATATCAAGTTAATGAATGAATATATATCTCAAACTATTTATAGTGAAAAAACACTATGTGAGCAAACCAGGTAAAACAAATCAGGTATCGGAAAGTCATGCAATTATTTTTTAGTTTCTGTTATATCTCATAAAGAAAATCATCTACACCTTTTTTACAGGGATATTCAGGCAAAATAATGACAAAAATATTGAAATGATCTTATGTACTAAAAGAATGCTAAAATGACATTTTTAAAGTCTTAGCATGAATTTCTGAATAAATTCCATATATTTTGGGTTTGAAGAGTAAATATATTTACATATGTTAAACGGAATTTATACGCAAACATAAACACCGAGTAGTTTTAAAACAAGTTATGTGAACAAACCCTGGAAGCTACAATACCATATGTTTTCAATATTTTATGATTCAAACAAGTCTAAGTCATAAACGGTCCCATAGTTCAATGTGACATATATTGTGAAATCTAACCGCTCTAACCTGACCCACGTGGGTCAAGTAAGGTTACCTCCATTTTTTTCTTTATAAAGAGAAAAGTTGTGTTCCTTTGACTGCCTGTTGTATCTATTTTGAGGACATTTACAGAATAATGAATGAAACATTCAAAACTAAGACATGACAATTTTGCCTGTGTCTCCTTTTAAAAGTTAAAGTAATTCAGTGCTAAAATTGCATTTTAGTGTTTTTGACAATGTGGATAATATTTTTGCCGTCACCCCATGACTCCGTCATTTTCTTACTTTATCTCTGTGATATGTCAATTCAATGCTTTTTTATTTATAATAACAGATTTTTGAACAAATCAGGTAAAACAATTCAGGTCTTAGAGAGTGGTGCAAATATGTTTTCAAGTTTTTTATATCTCATGATGAAAATCATGTACACCTCTTTTACCTCAGGTTTTTCACTTTCTGTAATACAGTACAAAACATACATTTCAGTTTCCTTCACAATATGAATAAGACGGAAATAGTTGGCCGTCAACCTATGACTCAATCATGTACTTATTTTATCCCTGTCAATAAAATGCTTATTTAAATCATTTGTTTGACTAAGTCAGGAGTGCATTTTGAAATCTGATCTAGAATTTGTTTATACTATTGATGATGACAAAATGTTATGTGAACAAATCAGGGTAAAACAAATAACCCTTAGGGTATGTCTGCCCTTTAACTTTGTATTTGACGTCTCATCTGTGATATATTTTCCTTTCAAATGTTAATCATCATGTTTTTATACATACATGTATTTGATTTTCCTAGGATATTCTTTTGGTTGTGGGTCTACAATATAATAAATATTTCTAAATCGGCAAAAGTTGTCTTTTATTTTCAATGACCTTAAATGTGTTTTAAGTCATAGTATTATTACAAAAATCATATGAGCCTTAAGCTCCGGAGTACATATAATCGCCCTCCGTCTAAGCATCATATGTATTAGGAGTGAAAAGGTTACCTGAAATATTTTAATACATTTATATTCAAATGCATAGCTATTCCGTTGAACTTTCGTAAAAAGCACTTTGTCGCCTCGATTCGGATGAAAAACTGCTCATTATTCTATTTTATCATCAATATCAATTAATATGTCGGAAACGATTAAAAGTAAGCAGATTAAATTAATAAGATTCATTACATATACATCTTACTGATTCATTTTGCAGATGAACATCATTGTATAAATTTTTATTTAGTGAGTCTAAATAATGTAATATTACTGATTTTACTTCAGAAGTTGACACTTGAGTTTGTAAAATTATACAAGTTTCAAGTTTATTTCAAAGTACATTTGGACAATATGTCCATGCATACACAGTACATATAACAAAGCATACAATACAATCAAATGGTCAATGTTACACTTTATAAAACATATATCATTAAGTTACACAGTATTTTAGCAATCAGAAAACGTAAACTATAGATAGAATATACTATCAACATGTCTCAATTCATATACTTGTAAATAAATACTAAGGAAAGATACCATCCTATTAATAAGGAAGTAAATCACAAAACAAAACGAAAATAAGTGTATGTAAGATACAGTTATACAGCGTTACATATAGCACTTAAAAGCTGATAAAGGGTAATAACAGAATAATATTTCGTCTATAATTATCTAAGGCCTATCACAATTCAAAAACCGTCCCGTACGTAGACTTCATAAACACTTATATCTCCTATCAAAATTCCAGTGTTGATTAGTTTCGCCCGTTGTTTTCTCGTTTAGGGCACAAGCATAAATAATAACTATCTCAATGAACATTCTCTTATTTTTAAAAACCAATCGGGTTTCCTTCTAGGACATTCCACTTTTTATCAATTAAAAGACATTTATAACCACATGTGTAAGTCTTTTGATTCCAGGGAATCGACATGTGTAAAATTTCGTGATATTTCAAATGGTTTTGATAGAATTCAGCATAAAAGTTTAATTTTCAAAAAAAGACAATATGGAGTAGAAGGTAATTTAATAAATTGATTTGGAAAAATTATCTAAAAATAGGAATCAAAAGGTTCTCGTTAATACTTCCTTTTCTTTATCTAGGTATATATACGATGGAGTTCCCCCAAGACTCGGTCCGTGGACCTCCTTTTTTCTTTTAATATACTTAAACGATATAGCGGATTCTCTCTTAAGTGTAACATTACTTTTTGCAGACGACAGTTCTCTAGCAGTGACATCAAACAATGTAAATACAATCGAAGAAACTATCAATCAATCTAAATTGACCTGATTCATACTCTTAATTTTGTAGACTGACATAAACATTTAGGTGTCACATTTGGCCATGGCGGTAACTGGTATAAATATAACGTAAATATCCCAGATATTCCCACCAACCGCCCAAAATGTTTCTCTACATCTATACTCTGCGTAATGATGCTAATTATGCTTCTATAGCAAGAAGAACAGAAATTTATGCTTAGTCTGTCATTCAATCCTCTATACAATTTTGGAACGAATTACCAACAAATATAAGAGAATCAAAAACATTGTCTATATTTAAAAATAAAGCATTAAATGCAGCCCCGGTTATGTCGCAATATTATATCAAAGGTGGTCGTGTATCTGCTGTCTACCATGCTCGTATTAGGAATAACTGTAGTAATCTGAATTTTGAATTATTTACAAATAATCTCATTCATAATTCAGATGGTGGTTTCGTGTGACACAAAAATTTTATACAACACAGCAACTCTCTCTCTCTCTCTCTCTCTCTCTCCCTCTCTCTCTCTCTCTCTCTCTCTCTCTCTCTCTCTCTCTCCAATCTTTTTGCTTGTCTTTACACTTTTAAAATGAAAATGTGTAGTTACGTAATGCATATTTACTATTAATATAACACTGTCTTTACTTTATGGAAATTTATAGGGAAGGGCCCATGATAGTGTTGCAATACCTTTTTTATTGTTTCAACATATACTAGTAATATCGTGCATGGGATATGGTTTTCTTTTCAAATCTCAATTTAATTTATATTTTTTCACATTTAATTAATTATTCAGTTATGAATTTCAAATGTAATGAATATCATTTTACATGTATACAGATAACAACAGATGTGTTATAAATATATATGTATGAGTGATCATGTAAAACATATCACTTAGCATTTCAGAATGAGCTCCAAAGCATGTGTTTTTATTTTCATTGTCTTCAACATATTTGTACGTGGTAAGTCTTTGTTCATAGTTTGCAAGTTTTCATAGAATTCTTGTTTCTAATATTGTTCTTAATTAGCGTACATTGTATCTTACATACTAATGAGATGTTGTTTTTGTTGTTGTTATTTATAATATTTTATCAAGTAAAGTCAAAATAATAATATTATATCAATAATTATAGATATATCATCAAGCCTATACAGAATATCAGCTGTAAAAAAAACTATAAATGCGTATAGGCAGTCGTAAAAGTTTAAAATTGATTTTTTTCTTTTTGATATTTTACGTTGAACATTTTTATTTATAAGTGAGCATCATCTCATACAAACATTCATTTTTTAGTTCGACTTTTCGCAGAATATACGAGCTAATGCAGTCATCCATGGCATCGGCGTCACTGTGGATAAGCTTTTACATATAAGCTGGTATCTCCATAACTACTGAAGGGAAATGATTGATCTTCACACATTGTTTCCCTGTGATTATCTAACATGATTGGCACAAGTTCCATAACTCTGATTTGCTTTTTTGCATATATATGCCCATTTTTTCCACTTAGAAATTCTTGGTTACGTTTTGCGTGTAAGCTTGTATTTCCACAACTACAGAAGGGAATGGATTTAAACTTCATATGCTTCTTCTTTGTAATTATCTAACATGATTGGTAACTCCAATTTGCTTTTTTGCATAATTATTTCCCCTTTTCAACTTAGAAATGCTTGGTTAAGTATTTGCGTGTAAGCTGGTATCTCCATAACTACTGAAGGGTTTGTGCCTTTTGTGATAATTTTATGCATTCATAATAATCAATCAATAATTTACTCGAAAAAACATCTTAAAGCTGCGTGCCTCTGGATAAGACAAAATATTTCAATAAAATCAAACCTGAGAAAAATTTACTAACATTTTAGGAAAAGTAAACAGATTTAATATTTAAATAATAATTTACATGTGTTTTTTGCGATTTTTAGTATTTATCACCATAATTCTACTGCGTTACTAACGCAGTAAAGGCTATTTTTGACAGTTTAACCACATTTTGGTAATTTGCATGGGTTATGAGTGATGTTTGTAATGTGTAAATTACTTCCGTTTGATTTCTTCACAATATTTAACTGTTAAATACATTTTCAAATATTTCATGAAAATTTGCATGAATCTGGAGGCATGCTGCTTTAATAACAAGCCTTTGTACTTTTTTCTGGACAATTTAATGTATTCATATGGGTAAGCATTATTATACTCAATGAAACACTTTGTGACAAGTCTTTCAACTTGCTTGTCGAGCGTCGCTGGCCACCGACAACTTTTCTTTATATAATTATATTTTAACGATCTTTTGATGGAAAAATTTAAATATATGTATAACAGAAATATCGTAGTGTGGTTGCCATAGAATACTTTTGTAAATATGATTCATCGGCCTTTCAATGCATTCGAAGTTGATCTCTTAATGTGTCTCAGAAAGAAAAAAGAGAAACGCCTGTGTTATTTTCGACCCCCCCCCCCCAAAAAAAAAAAAAAAAATAATAATAATAATAATAAATTAATAAAAAATATGAAAACATATTAGAGAAATAAAAAGTGTGTTTAGTGTTCAAATAATTCCTGTACCTCCAATTTGTAATTTCACTTAGGAATTTTCTATTGTATTGTTTAATGTACTAGACTTTAATAAATATAATTTTTTTAACAAATTCGATATTCGATATGATATAGCGTACACAAACATTTCTCTTACGTTCCATTCATATGATAAAGATAAGTATTCGATTTATAAATAGTTTTTGGAGTCATGTGATTACACATGAATTTTATTACAGAATATAATTATGTCAGTAGAATATAATTAATGAATCGAATTATTACTTGTTTAGATTATAAAAGTGGAATAGAAGCTCATGAGATTATACCATCATATGGTGGAACGTCTGAACCAATAAAAGCTTATGACGCTAGACTCTCAGACAAGATAGAGGATGGCTTTAGGGGTTTACGTGGTAGAAGAACTGCAGATGGTGTAGATGCGTATTTATTTAACTTATGGACCACAAGTATAACTCCTACAGAATCTCTCTTTGACATTGAACCAAGTATGAATTTGGGGGAAAGAGATACTCCTTATGAACTATACAACGAAAGGCGTGATGTTCCAGCCGAACAATACAACAACAAGAAGAGAGACCAAACAACCAAAATAGGGATGGTACACATAAACTGTACAACGGTTAAAGAGATGATCCACAAGGACCCTACAACGGGAAAAGAGATAGTCCACCTGGACCCTACAACGGGAAGAGAAATGGTACACCTGGACCCTACAACGGGAAGAGAGATGGTCCACCTGGACCCTACAACGGGAAGAGAGATGGTCCACTTGGACCCTACAACGGGAAGAGAGATGGTTCAGCTGCACCCTACAACGGGTAGAGATATGGTCCACTTGGACCCTGTCGTATAGCTGGTTGCACAGGCTAATGAGTCATACACGCTATATTAAAAAAGAATGACAAGTCAACATGTATATACACATTTGTAGTTACACCTGAAAATAGCGATACTGATGATGCTTCAGAAATACCAGAATCAGTATTACCCCAAGTTGCTAAGAATGTTAGAAAAGAAAGGTCAAATTCTGATAGTGAAGATGATATTCCATTAGCCGAATTACAGAAACATCTTCGACAACAACAACAAATTTCAAATAATGAAAATGCTCAAAGTAATGCACATTCAGAAGAAATGCAATCGCAGACTGATTCAGAATTATCAGACTCAAATTCCATACAAGTAAATAGCAATCCTCAGTCACAAGCAGCATATAATGCTATTCAGTCAGATTCAATGGCTGATGATAACGATTCAGATAATGAAATGTTTATAAACTCTATTTCTACTAAAAAGAAAAGTATTGTAAAACCTCGATATAAAGTATCTGGTAAAGTAAACACAAAGGTACATAGTAATAATAAACGCTTGAAACCGAATGTTAAAATGTTTTTACAAGGATTAGCCAGTATGCTATAGAACGTTATATTCCGTGTTATATGCTATACTAATTTTCGGTAAATTGACCTCAGGCATTGTAAATAGTTATTATAGAAAAAAAAATATATATGTTACAAGAAACGATAATAAAACAAAACAGAAAATTACATTATTTAACCATATATCTTTATATTTTTGGTGGTTGTATTCATTTATATTAATTTTCAAGTTGTTTTTATTAGAACTATATATCTTAGATTTTTTTTTATTATTGCTTAAAATGATCGTTATTCGCTATATGTTTATTAATAGATCGGTTAATTAAAATGCATTTCAAAGTAAATGACAGCACTTAATCATGAGTTTCAAATTGATTATTTACTTTATTTCATATTAGAATAACATGTGTATACATACATGTTTCAACTGTCAACGCACAATCATTAAATAAAGTTTAAATTGGGATAAGTCTTATTGTCGAAATAAAACTAAAGTTAATAGCTTAGTTAAAAAGTAACAAAATATGTCTAGAAAAGTAAAAAAAATTTAAATATCAAGTATTACATAAATAAGATACTTACACTAGAGAACATCTTTCATTGGAATTCTTATCCTATGCATTTTATGACAGTTGTCTTGTTGTTCATATATCTGAAACAAAATTATGTTTATTGTATATAATATCTATTAACCGATCTGACAACGGACGAAAATGCAAAATATTGGTCTAACGATCACTTGTCGTCCAGCCAAGACAGAGAGGTGCGAGCGAATTCGCCGGTACAGTCAAACACCGCCTGACTAGAAATATTACAGTCAGCCTCTACGATGTCAAACTATGTACAACAAAAACCATGCAGATATAACCATAAACACCTTCTTCGATGTAAAACCATGCAGATATAACCATAAACACCTTCTTCGATGTAAAATTATATGAAATAAGCGTCTACGATGTTTAAAATATATAACTATGCTGACACAGCCGTCAACAACAACAACAACAACAACAAAATTGTGGAATCAAATAAACTTTTGTTCCTGTCTTCAACCAGAGAAGCCGAAAACTTCCGTTTATCAATAGAATGTGTTTTTCTATGTGTTATATAAACTTAAAAACAAAAACCCAGAGAAATACTGATGACAACAGAGATATCCAAAATAAATATCACATAAACATTTGCGAGGATCGTGCAACAGCAAACTGTTAATTTAATTATCTTTTACTCCAAAAAACATTGCTACATTAATGAAGAATTATAGATCTATCATCACTTTGTTGTATTGTTCAATACAAGACATTCTTTTTACAACGACGAAACAAGAACAGCGTTTACAGATGTGCCAATAAATATTCGAATATAACTTTATCAACGTGTGTATAAAGTCTACGTTTACACATATCAAATACATATATATTAATTTAAAAGAATCTTCAAGAACATCAAACATTTATGAACAATTATGAGTGTCAATTTAAAATTATACTTTAAAAAGCTACATACCAACGATTTGAAATTCCCGACACGTCAAACGACCAAGCCATACTGATGTCAGCAAGTACCTGTTACAAAAATATACCCGTCACAGGAAGTGTTCAATGCGCATGCACAATACACGTTTTACAGGAAATGAAACACCTGGACATTTTATCAATTTAATTTATCAATTGTTTATAATATTTTTTTAACTTTTTCGTATATAAATATCTTTTTTACTCTTATCATACACATAATTCTGTTAAATTTTATACCTTAAAGTTTTTCTAATTAATATTCTTAAAATAATTTGTTCTTTGAAAATTGTTAACTTATTTGTTTGTTTTTTATGTTTTCTTGATCTCTAGAAATTAACTTTTTTTTCTTTTTTTTTATGATGAAATAAAGGAAATTTAATATTTATTGAAAAACTTATAAAGCTATAATATTTACCTTATATCACTTTAACATATTATTTTTGTATTTTTTTTTCCATAAAGATTAATCGAACATTTAACCATAATTATTATTTTACTTATTCAAAACTTTTAAAACTAATATCAAAAGTAAACTTACCTGTGCTGCATTGTATCTATCCATTTCTCTATTAAAATGAATTCAAACATGAAAAGGTTACACACGTTATTCAATTGACCAATCAGAGATTATATGACATAAGGTGATTTTTTCTCTTTTAAAAATAAAGTAATAAAAAGTCATTAGATAACATTTCTGACCGGACATCTTTGACCGGATATTACCTTCGGCGATTTTTCTTTGAGAATAAAGTAACAAAAGGTTGATGTAAAACATCCTTACCTTAGGGGTAAAACAGATGTCAAGTTGATTTTAGATTTTTTTTAATTTGTTAGAACGAGTTTGAAATGTTTGATATTAAATAATACCTTGTTTAATACTTTTTTTTAATTTTTTTTATATATAAGTAAAGGAGGAATTGTCGTATAGCTGGTTGCACAGGCTAATGAGTCATACACGCTATATTCAAAAAGAATGACAAGTCAACATGTATATACATATATTGGGGTTTTTATTTCATAATGTGCACTATGGAACATGACATGATTTATGAGTATTATAGTTCAGGATGCATGCGGACTAGCTTATGTCAAAATGATTTATATATGTGACTCTAAAGCGTGTGTATTTATATACATTATAAAATGTCCTTAGGACAGGTTGATATTATATATACTATTGTCAAATGTCAAAGAGGGGAGTTCGTCTTTGGTATTCCACTCGTTCACATGTGTGTTTGTATTTGTATATTAAAAGTATGTAACATTTGTGAGTTCTTCCTCCGTTATGCGACAATATATTGTGTTGGTATTGTCATATATTGAAAAGTTTAATATATTTTGTTAG